AGAGGGCAGAGACAGGAGACACAGAATCCCAAGCAGGCCCCAGGCTCTGAGCTGTCAGCACGGAGCCCGACATGAGGCTCAAACTCACAAACTGCGAGATCATGACCTGAGCTGAAGTCAGATGCTCAAGCCCCCTGGGCGCCCCTAAAAGTTATTTTGTGACAGCTCAGACTGCACATGTCCAAAGCATTGTATAGTAAAGGTTCAAATTCCCATTTATAATATAAGGCATTTTTTCCCTAAATACTTCACTTAAAATGATAAGAATTTTATGGCATAATTTCCTAGATGTGTATGTTTATAGTTTAAACTTTTATGTTTTTTTCAGTCTTGCTGCCTTTGTTTCAGATGTTTATTTTGAGAGAGAGCGAGAGAGCACGCATGAGAGTGGGGGAGGGACAGAGAGAGGGGGAGAGAGTTCCAAGCAGGCTCCACGCCACCGGCATAGGGTCCCACGGGGGCTCGATTTCACGGTTCACGAGATCGTGACTTGAGCCAAGATCAATCCTGTCAGTTTTTTTTTTTTTAAATGTTTATTTTTGAGAAAGAGAGAGGTCACATGAACTGGGAGGGGCAGAGAGAGAGAGACCGAGAACCCCAAGCAGGCTCTGAGCTGTCAGCACAGAGCCTGACATGGGTTCGAACCCAGGAACCATGAGATCATGACCTGAGCCAAAGTTGAACACTTAACCCACTGAGCCACACAGGAGCCCCCCAGATTAATACTTCTTGCTTGTAACTTCCAGTCTGTTGTGAATTTAGGGAAGAGAAAAGCTAAGAGAACCAGTTCCTGAAAAACCAGTACATAAAAATGGGTTTCCTCTTCAGTGTGCACATCCCACAGGCTGCCTTAGTCCCGTCATCAGGGGCCGCCTGTGGTTCCCATGGTGGCCTTTGCACCTGCTGCCCGCCCGGATCCCCCTTCTTGGCCTGCCTCACACCTTCATTTGGTCTCAGTGCAGGCATCACCCCTGGGAAGTCTTCCTGTCCTCTCCCCTCTTGTGTCCCCAGAGGTGGCCGTCTTCCGTCTCTGAGCACCAGTGGGTCCTGTTTCCTCGTAGGCGTCACCCTTTCCGGGGCAGGGCTTGTGCACTCTGGTGCCTCAGTAGTTACCTCCGGGCACCTGCCAGGTGTTGGGAAGATCCCAGGGTGAGGAATATGTAGGTGACCGTGGAACCTGTGGTCCTGAGGCTCTTTCTGTTGCTGGGGCCACAAATCCATTAGCTACAGCAGAGAAGAGAAGGACAGCTATCTATTTTTTTAAATGTTTATTTTGAGAGAGAGACGGAGACTCAGACTCTGAAGCAGGCTCCCGGCTCCGAGCTGTCAGCACAGAGCCCGACGCAGGGCTCGAACCCACGACCCGTGAGATCATGACCTGAGCCGAAGTTGGACATGTAACAGACTGAGCCACTCGGGCGCCCGGAGAGAGGGATGGTTATTATAAAGAAGGGCGGTGCCTCAGAACCAGAGGGCAGAATGTGCCTCGGGACCCCCTGAGGAGCGGAGCCAGGGATCAGCAGGCAGCTCACGCCTGCATCCGGGTCACGCCTGCTTTGTCATGTGCCCCTGTGCTTCTGGTGTCCTCTCTGTCCTTCCGTGTGTGCTCCCTCCGCCCTCCCCCTCGGGCTCCTGCCCCTTTTCTTCAGTTGCTCAGCTGACCCCACTGTCACAGCCTGGCGTGCGAGCCCTGAGCGGACAGACAGTGTCCTCGTGCCCCGGAAACTCAGGTGGAGGGTGGACAGGGGTCAGCCGAGGACACCCCTGCTCTGGGTGAGAGGCCCGTGGGTGGGCTCCTGAGGATGGGCGACCAGGGGACGGTGTGTGAGCTGAGACTGGAATGAGCCGGAGCCACCAGCGGGGTCGCACGGGCGGGTGACCTCCCCGGTGGGGAAGGGCTGGTGCGAAGGGCGGACGGGGGGCTGGTTTGGTTGGCGGTGTGGGAGCGTCCCAGATAAGGGGAGACCCTTGAACATGGCATGCGAGGAAAAGGGTCAGATAGCAGAAGCATCTGCACGGTACAGTTCTGTCTCTGTAAAGTCTAAGTACCTGTCCGAGGTATTTGTATGATGTTAATAGTGGAGACAAGTATGTAGCAAAAAGGGAAAACCGTGAAGCAATGTGATGTTCTACCACAGGGCGTTGAAGTCTGATAGCATGAGTGTGAGAAAGGCCTGTTACGCTCAGCTCCAGAATTACAAACCGGCCAACAGACGGCTTTTACCCGTAATCACAGGTTCTTTTCTTTGACTCAAGGGATTGAAGTTTGAGAAAGAAGTTAATGTATTCTAGCAGCCAAGGGACAAGTGCTGTAGATATTTCAAGAAAATGTAATTTGTCTGCCCTCACTTTCGATCTGTGTGTGTGGTGAAAGAAGCCAGCGTTTCATCAGAGTTTGGATTCTCCCGATTTGTGATAACCCAGCTTCCGCCGAAGTCTCAACAGTGAGCGTTCCCGTGACAAGTTATTCACGGCTGTTAAACGGTCCCCAGACGTGGAAGCTCCTTGCTCTCTGCTCCTGACGATAGTTGTCACAGAGGGAGAATTTTATTTTTAATGTAACCCTGCATTTAAGGAGACTTCTTTTGAAATGTAACGGGAACGGAAATGTTGGTATTTGAATGTTTGTCTTGCAATTTGACACTTTGGAAGTCGAGCCCGTCATATCGGAGAAGACTCCTACTGCCTCCGGTAAAGGCTTTGCCACACGGCGGCTCGTACGTGGTCCGTTCACCGCCCAACTGGACGGATGAACACGGGCGCGTGCAGACGGGGCCGTGATGCTGCTTAAGTGAAACAGCAGTGTTTCGGTTGTCACTTTCTTTGTTCTTTTTTACGAATGGAAACGCTAAGACGGCATTAGGGAGCCTGTTTCCTCTTACCGCGCGTTTTGAGAACTCCGGTTAGAAGTTAGAAATAGAAGTAAAGGGTTAAAAACGAGGCTAAAGGAAGAGGACGGAGAACGCGTTCCTGGTCCTCTGGCTCCCTCAAGGGCTGCAGGTGGAGACAGGGGTCCCCCGCCCGCAGGGGTGGCCGGGAATGAAGAGCACGCAGGTGAGCGGGGTGCCTCGCGGTGGCCCGCACACTGCCGCGTGGGGTGTGCTCGGCGCACAGTGTGGACAGGCGGCAGTGAGATGCGCATTCCTCGGGCGTCAGGCTGGAAGCCTCTCCCTGAGTGCCGAGGTGCATAGCGGTGTCTCTCCCCCGTGGGAGGTGAAAGTTCCCTCGAGTTTTCTGCAGAATGGAACACACGGCGGCATCTTCTGCGAGGGATTCGCCTCGGGATGACCAAGTACCTCGGGTGGGGAGGGGGGAGGCGCATAGGTGAAGCAAGACAGGCTGCGGGTGGATGGCCGCCGAACCGTGTGATGGGTACATCGAGGGCTCACGGTAGGTTTCCTTCTGCTTTTGTGTGTGTTTGCGGTTTTCCATAACAAAAAGCAAAGCAGAATCTAGTCTAGAATTACTCTCAGAGCAGTGAGATGTGAGCGGCCCTGTGAGAGTGACGTGGGGGCAGGTAGAGGTGTTTCGCATCCCCCTGTACTCAGCGCCACGGGTGGAACAGCCAGCTGCAACTCCTAAATCAAGTTCATGACGGTCCTCGCAGGCCAGCTACTTAGGTGATGCTATTTCGCGCTGATGTTCCTGGCCTCGAGCCGGACAAGACAGCCGGTCCCTTTTGAGACCCCACAGCTGAGAAGGCAAGACAATGAGACAAATAGTCACCAGGGAGTAGAGAGACACAGGGCCAAGTCCAGAGGAGTGGGGTATGGAATACACTTTCTCAAAGGCAAGGGGTGAGGCTGTCGCAGGGAGTCGGGAAGAGAGCCTGGTGGCCGGGCTTTGTCTGGCGTGGCGGCCGGGAGGGAAGCCCCCCTCCTCTGAGGGGTGGATGGTGAGATTTGTTTTTAACTTATTCATTTTATTTTGAGAGCGGGGGAGGGGCAGAGGGAGAGAGAGAGAGAGAGAGAGAGAGAGAGAGAGAGAGAGAGAACCCCAAGCAGGCTCCACACTCAGTGCAGAGCCCGACATGGGCTGCATCCCACAAACCGTGAGATCGTGACCTGAGCTGAGACCCAGAGTCAGACGCTGAACCGAACGAGCCCCCCAGGCCCCCAGGATGGTGAATTTTTAAGAGCAAGGGTGTCTGGAATCAAATCGACGGGGCAGTGCCTCTGCCCTCAGTGCCTTGACCCCTTCCTGGTGGGACGGGTCCGTTGCCCGGGTGCTGCAAGCTGGAGGTAAAGGGTCAGCACGGTGGGATTGTCGGTGGCCAGCTCTGTGGAGTCAGACAGACCCGGATCCGCAGAGCGGCCCTATGGCTTCTGAGGACTCGGGCCCGAGTCCCTGAGCCACGCGGTCTGTGCTCCGGTGTGTGACGTGACGTGCTGACGCGGGCCGTGGGTGCCTCCCGCAGTCCCCGGTGCACCTGCCCTCCGTCCTGCTGGCAGCCTGCCTCTTCCTCAGGAGGGGAGGGGCCCGGAGGAGTGAGAGCTGTCTGTGGCTCCCCGAACGTTCTTTCGGCGGCTTGCCGGCTGATGGCCGCTGGAAGTGCAGCTTTGCTCACAACCGAGACCGGCTGGGATTCTGAAGCCTTTGTGGGTTTATGCGCCCCTATGACACCAAGGCCCTCAGGTCACGGGTCGCAGGCTCAGGGCCTGCCGGTGAGCAGGCCGGAATAGTCCTGCTGACACTAACGGGGAGTCGAGTTGCTCGCTGAGCACGGTTGGTTAGAGCTGGCTGCTCCCTGCTCTGGGGGCCACAGGAGATAGGTGGAGGCGTGGCGGCCGTGCTCCCTGGGCACCCGGGGGCTCCCCCTTGCCCTCGCAGCTGCTGGTGGGGCTGCTCGTCCTCGGGCACACCCTCGTCACACGGCCGTCTCCCCTGGGTGGCTGTCGTTTTTCCTCACACGGACACGAGTCACGTGGGGTGAAGGGCCCACCCTGTTGCAGCATGACCTCGTGGCAACTAATTACCCCACGCGGACCCCTGTTCCCAATATGGTTCACGTGCTGAGGCCCTGGGGCCGGGCCTTCGACGTCTGTGTTTCTGGGGACACAGTTCAATCCGTAGTTCTTGTCCTGTTAACGCGGCACAAACACAACACTCTCAGCGCGGTCACCCCGGGCGTCTTTCTCAACAACTGGTGTCGTGTGAGAGCAGGGTGGTGGCTGTGTCCCACGCGGGACACGGCTGGGGGCCCCAGCTGGGAGTCAGGGTTGAGTGAGCCCACGCCTGTCTGCAGGGCGCCGCCCGGTGAGCGCCCTCCCCTCCGCGTGCTGCTTCCCACAGCCCTGCTGTGGCTCGGGCTCCCACTGGCACCACGTGTCTTGCCTCCCTCCCTGGAAAATGGTTCTTCACGCACTGGAATGTGTCAGAATGTAACAGCGTTCAGCGTTCTGGAGTGTTCTAGCATGTTCTAGAATGCCCTACTCTGACCTGAGTCAGAGACCCAGGCTTCTGGAGATTCTGTTTGAGAAGTGCCCTGGAATGTTCTTTGATGGGATTTAAACATCCAGAACCTGACTGCCAGTACAGCATCGCTGTGGCTCCTCCCGGTGGTCAGGACAGCCGCCTCTCTCCTCCGTGTCACTTCCCGGGTCTTCTGTGCTAAGGGTTTCCTCATTAAAAGCGATTATTATTCGTGGGTGCCCCTGGGAGTGGCTCAGAGGAACACGGGGGATGCCAGCTAAGACGAGTGCAAGGTGCTTGAAAGGTACGTGCTTTAGAAAAGTTAACCGGCAGTGTCCGTGTTCTTAATCTTCGTAGAAAATATGCAGTGTAAGGGCTTTGCTGCTCGGAGATAAAACTTGCTGTGTCATGTTGGCTTACATGGGCCAACGAACGGGTCCGCGTTGCTGACTTCTGAGAAGTCCGGCCATTGTTTCCAGGAAGCAGCCGCGCCACCTCTGGGGCCCCCGCCCCTCCCCCTGCCGTGGTCTCTTCCGTGGACAAGCGACGTCGTCGTGGACAGTTGTCGCGGACAGTGCCGGCCTGTTACGGTTCATGCTCCTCTCTCTCAGTTCACCGTTTGTGCCCACGTGGACGTTTCTGAGGTCTGAATTCTCCTTTTTATATCTTCCGTTTTAGTGCAGAAAGAATGATGATGGGGACACAAGTGTTGTCGTTGAAAAGGACCATTTCATGGATGATTTCTTCCATCAGGTAAGAGCCACTGAAGGAAGCCCAGCCAGACTGTCTCCAAACACAGTTAACATACCCGAGTGTTTGTCTTATTTGAAATAATACTAAAAGTAATATAACGAAGAGTTGCCGTGTGAATTACATTCAAGTTCTCTAGAATTTTTAGTGCCCTTAAAATACTTGGTGGCGTGGAGCCATTGTTCCGGGAAGTGCACTTGGGGAGGGGACGGGGCAGTGTGCTGGTTTGACCCCGGTCCCCTCCCAGGAGGAGCTTGGTGTCCCAGGACTGGGTGGCGCCTGGCCGGGGCTTCCTCTCCTGACGTGATGCTGATGTGCTGGGTAGAGACCGCCCCTCCCGGGACAGGCTCCTCCCAGACCCTGCCACCCTCAGGTTCTCACCCTGGGAGCAGTGGTCTCCAAGCGAAGGGCCACCCGATCCTTTCCAGAGGGAGTCGTGGTGGCGGTGGTGCCCTCTGCCGATGGCGCCGGGTCAGGAGTGCCCAGCACGCACGCGACGACACTCCTCGTCCTTTTCCTCCACAGGGTCCCCACACGGTGACCTCGGGCATCAAAGAGCTCATACTGTGTCTTTTCTAAAACCACTGAACGAATCTTAAATTCCTCTGCTGGCAAGTCTTAGACGTAAGCAGGTGTATCACTGTGGGAAAGCCACTCTGTCACCCATCAGCCTGGCATTTCCCTGAGGTGCCCACCCTGGAGCCGCGTCCCTTGGATCTGACCTTGTACCGCGTCCCCTGTCCCAGGCTGGCCGCCAGGCCTTCCCCTTCCCTCTTAGCACCCCAGGGCTGCTGCTGTTGGGGTATCCTGTGCGTAAAGGCTTAAACCTAAGTGATAGTTGACCAAATTTTGCGTGAATCCAAATTTTTGAAACTGAGTCACAGAACAAATAATTTGACCTCGTTAAACATGAAGAAACGTGCGTGTTATCTTTTTTGAATGATGAAAACTTCATTTGCAGGGTTTATTTTGGTTACACTGAATCTAGTCTAATAGTTTCAGTGGACTCTTAAAATTGTTTATGTTTATTTTTGAGAGACAGAGACAGGGCGTGAGCAGGGGAGGGGCAGAGAGAGAGGGAGACACAGAATCCGAAGCAGGATCCAGACTCTGAGGTGTCAGTACAGAGCCCGACGGGGGGCTCGAAGTCACGAACTGTGAAATCATGACCTGAGCCGAAGTCGGATGGTCAAACTGACTGAGCCACCTGGGCGCCCCAAGTTTCAATGGACTCTTAAATCCAGGGACAGTCTAAACTGGCCTATCAGTGTGCAGATTTGAAAAAAAAGTAATATGTTAATAAAAACATATTAAAAGTTATCAGTTTTCAGAATTCACTGAATATCTAGTATAAGCCTAGTCACTGGGTTTACGTATTTGTTATGTTAGTTCCTAATTTTATCTAGTGGAAAAACATGAAATTAAGTTATTTGATACAGGGACTTACTTTAAGGCCCAAAGAAGTTAAGATACTGAATTTCCTTGTTTCACTTTGGAAATGAGACTGTTTTTAATTGTCTGGAGCTTACCTACCCACTTTGTGAAATTATTTTTCTATTTTTACCCCCTTTATCTGGATGCTTAACTCTTCCAGAATTCCATTCTTTGTAAAAATGTATTTATTGTAAAGACCCACCTGGCATTAAATGATGTTGTCACCTCTGGTGGAAGAATTGTGTACAGCAGGTCATTGAATGCCACTCCCCATGTTTCTGGTCACCACATGGGTCCGTGTCGGCTGTAGGTGCCCCAGAGGTGTGGGAACGGGACTCCCGCTGGGAGGCTTGGCAGCATTGGGGTTCAACCGAAGTTCAAGTTTTCACTGGTTACAGAGTCGTCGTATTTACAGTTAAGTCTCGTGGAAGGATTTCTTAGACAACAGGTGATGTTGTTAATACAAACTGGTTTTTTGAAAATGGCCTTTGTATCTTAAATATCACGTAGAATGCTGTAAAAGATAGACTTTTGCACGTGGCCAGTATTTAGTAGAGGACTATTGGAGAGTGCTCTTCGGGTGGCCAGGAAAGGTCCCCCTGGCAAAGATGACTTGTAAGGGACAGAAAGAGACCCCGTGTGGTGTTAGTGGCAGCTGTCAGCACCACACTGCCCGCCGGCACCTGCACCGTGTGGGAGTGACAGTCCCCGTCACGTCGGGCCCGAGGCCACGCGGCACCAGGGGTGTGAACGCAGACTCCACAGGTCTGCAGGCGGTGCCTTGGCCTTGGGTGACGGTTGTGCCCTGGTGCGTTTGCTTCGGCTGAGACAGGAGCCCGTGCACCGAGGCCAGAGTGTCCGTGCTGGTGTTGAAATAGCAAACGTGTAAAGGAATCGGTTTTTAGTTGGTGTGTCATTTTCACACGGTCAGTAAACTTAAGCTGTGAGCGTGAGAAGTATGCACGGTCCTACAGGACTTACGTCGGTGGGGGTAGCCCCCGGCCCGACGGAGTAGCACTTCGCCCTTCGGGGAAGGCGGGATTCTGTGTTCCACGCCCCTCCGGCATGTGCATTTTCAAAGTGTGCTTCAGAGTTCGGACCGGGGTCCCGGGGGCCAAGACCCTTTCAAGGAGTCCAGGCGGTCAAGACCATGTTCATGGTGATCCTAAGATATTTGTCTTTTCCCCTCCTCCCCTCGCGAGTACGTGCGTGGAGTTAGTCTCCGACCGCCGCTCTCACAAATCGCCACCGCCCCAGCAGCTTGACCGACACGCTTGCGCTCTCTCCCGGTCCAGACGTCAGGAGTCTGAAGTGAGTGTGCAGCGCTCACACCCGTGTGCCGGCAGGGCTGGCTCCTTGTGGACGCGCCACGGAAGCAGCCATTCCCTGGCCTTTCCAGAGACTGGCGCTGAAGGCACATGGCTCCAGCCTCCGCTTCCGTTTTCTCACCCCCGGCTTCTAAATCTAACCCTCTCGTCCCCTTTTTGTAAGGACACTTGTGATTACTTTAGAGCAACTCAGGTAACCAGGGTAGTTTTCCCGTGTCAGGACTCAGCCCCATCTGCGAAGTCCTCTTGCCCTATAGGGGAGCACTCACCGGACTAGGATGTGGACATCTACCACGACGTGGAAGGATTTTGTAATGACTGTTTTAGGAAGGATCAGTCAGCACTTAAGCTGTATGCCCAGTCTGATAATTCAGATACAGGGATCTGTTTGGATGAACCTTGCTGACGAGTACATTACAGTTTGAAACAAGTGTTCAATAGTGTAGATCATTGGGTAAAAACAATGACTATGAAGGCTTGGCCTTGTCTACGGTCAACACCTCCCCACGTGGGTATGACTGCTGGCATGCCCTTTTTTTTTTTTTTTTGAAGATTTTTAATGTTTATTTTTGAGAGAGAGAGCGTGAGCAGGGGAGGGGCAGAGACAGAGGGAGACACAGACTCCGAAGCAGGCTCCAGGCTCTGAGCCCTCAGCACAGAGCCCGACACGGGGCTGAAACTCATGAACCGTGAGACCGTGACCTGAGCTGAAGTCGGTCTCTGAACCGCCTGAGCCCCCAGGCGCCCTGCCCTGTTCCCGGCTGACTGCACAGAGAGCTGCAGGCGGCCGCGTGCTTCCCGGCGACGTCATCTGCGGCAACACGTGGGTCTTGACGGTAAAGGTTTGTACAACCTGATGGGTTTTGCTGCTGAGGGTTGATTGACACCGCCTCAGCCACGGCGGTGTGGACCTTCACACGGTACGTGTTTCTTTGTCTTCAAAGTGAGTAATTCCCAGTGTGAGAATGGTAAGAGGCTGTTATTTCTTTATGTGGTGATTACTCATTCACTTCCCTCCTTTGTCCTTTCCTTTTCGGGAACGGCAGGTGGCAGCAGATTCGGATGTGCGCAATAATGATGACTTTCTGTCTGTCCTAGGTTGAGGAGATCAGGACCAGCATAGCTAAAATAGCTCAATATGTTGAAGAGGTAAAGAAAAACCACAGCATCATTCTTTCTGCACCAAACCCAGAAGGAAGTAAGTTGCTGGCTTTGAAAAGAAGTGCGTCTGTCTGTGTGTCTGTCTCTGTGCCTCTTTCTTGCTGCCTTCGAAACGGGCCTGGGCCCTGGCGGCACCTGCCGGAGGTCAGGCCGGGAGCTCGTAAACACCCTGGAACCGAGCAGGCCACACCCCGTCCTGACGCAGTGGTGGCTTCGTACGACCACCACCGTGTCCCGTCCAGAAGAATACGCAGGAGGGGCTTTGCCGAGCTGCGGGGCCGTATCAGTGATGGGACCTCAGATGCGGACTTTGTGCATCCCTAGTTAAACAGGAGTGATGGGATTTTGTGTTGAGACGAAAGTTAACAAGAGATTGATTAGGGGGCTCCTGCGTGGCTCAGTCGGTTAAGCGTCCGACTTCGGCTCAGGTC